AACTTAATTTCATGCAAACAAATTTCTCCGCCTACTAAGAAAAGCGATTGCAGGTACTTATTTACATGCATGTGAATTATAAAATAACAAGAGTTGGGATTATACCTTAGGTGCAAAGCAAGATTAACGACGACAGTGAGATGACAAGACGACAGTGAGACGACAAGATGACGTTTTGTACGAAATCTGCGATGAACAAATATAATTTTTTATGATTATCATTATTCTATTTAATTATATGCATATATATATTAAATGGGGCTAGAGAGAAAAAATGCAATATCTCTTTCTAGAGAGAGAAGGAAAGAGAATTTGGTGGGAAAATTGTAGGGCATGTATAGGAATATGGTGATGATGAGTGTGGTGTTAGAGAGAGCCTTCTCTCAGAATTTGGTGGGAAAATTGTAGGGCATGTATAGGAATATGGCGATGATGAGTGTGGTGTTAGAGAGAGCCTTCTCTCACTCAAATTTTAGAGAGAGAAAGAGATGAATTTTTTTCTCTAGGTGGATTGAAAAGAAGGAATGAGGGTGGAGGTGTAAGAGGCGAAGAATGGGGTGTTTGAAAGGTCAAATTATAGATTTTCTCTTTCTAGAGATAATATTTTCTCTCTCTAAGTCTAGAGAGAGAAAGTGTTATGGGGCTTTTGGGTGTTGTAGATGTGTAGGAGTATCTTTTTGTGAAGGAGGATGTGGGATCTGAGGCATGAAAATGGAGAAATCAAAGTTTATCGGGTTAGGTTAGGTTTAAGTTTTCAGAAGGTGATGATAAGGAAGAAGAAGATGGAGGAGGAGAAGACGAGTGGAAGAACAAGAGAAAATGGGGGCAAATGGAGGAGAAAGAAAGAAGAATAAGAAAGTTGGAAGAAGAAGTAGGAGGAGAGGAAAGGAGGAAAGAAGAAGAAAAAAAGAAAGAAGAGAAGAAGATGGAGGAGAGGAGATACCTTATGGCTGACGATTGGGGCATTGTCGGTCGGTTGGGCGCATGAGAGAGAGCGAAAGGGAGAGAGGAGAGGGCGAGAGCGGGCCATGTGAGTTACGTGAGTGGGAGGCAGTTGGAGTTATGAGAGAGTGTTATGTGAGTGTTTAAGTGAAGGGTAGTTCATATTTAGTTTAGGGACTTAAGGATTAGGGATTTTTTATTTTAATTATATAATTAAGTGTTAAATTTTCATTTATGATAAATAATTATTTAGAATAACCATGCTTCGACTTGGTCTCCACGTCGTTGTCGTTCGCGTACGTCAATGTCACCTCAATCCGTGCGCACACGAAATTTAAATTTTCATTAATCGACTATCACAATCAATATGGGTGTCAATCTTAGCTATTACAATTGCTCCGGACACGTCGGCGCTGTCCATTTTGCGAACGGAGGCCATTTCGACGATTTAGATTTTCAGTCGACATGCGTAAGGTGAATTTGGCATGAAGTTGCGCTCTTTTTCTTTGGAAACCCACCTTGCACGGTCAACACAACACCGACACTAGTACTAAGATCAACAGGTCTGATCTATTCCGCATGTTTCCCTGTGTGTAGATAGGAGGTACAATAGCTATCCACGGAGGAGAAGAGATTATTGAAGGAGATGAAAAGGATCCAAGGGGATGAGCAATTCTTTCATAAGAACTAGAAAATGACGAATAATGTTAATATTGACCTTGCATCCATCTGCAACTCCATAATGATCCTGATAAGTCAGTTCCCCAGCATGCCCCACCTGGGTCGACCATTGTTTACAGGAGGCGGTTCAAACCGCCTCCTCTATAGCTGCCTCAGCATAAGGGTCCCACGGCCCTATTTAATTTAATGAAAATTTATATTTTAGGCAAGGGGGAGGTGGCAAAAGCTTTGGAGAGGAATAATTTTAAATTAGAAAATTGGTGGGTTATAAATAGGCATGAAGGGGGAGGTTTAGGGCATGCTTAAGTATTGTGATCTTTTGGCATCTCTTTTGAGTTTTGGGCTCTAGACCTAATATCTAGAGATTTGGAGAGAACGATCCTCCTCTCGAATAGAGGATCAATTGTATCTTTGCTTTATGTTTGCTTTGTTTTGAGTTGTTTAATAAAATCTACTGTTTCTTGAGTTGTTTCATTATCATTCTTGTGTGACTTGTGTCTTCTCGTTGTTTTTATCAATTTCTTGTTAGGGTTGTTTGTGAACTCAAGTATATGTGATAGGATTCCTTGCGAATTCAAGTATTTCCTATCAGATCCCCATCTGAGAGAAATTAATAACTACTTTGCTTTTCTTGCTTCAATCTTGTCCCAAGCCCCACTGAGGCTTCTGTTTCTTAAACCGAAAAAGGGAACTAAGGGTGCCTTCCAAAATGATCAGATTAGTCGAGGCTAGGAAAAGGGGTTTGTTATGCAGTAGTTAAGGAAGCCATCAATGAACATCAAACTCATATTACTACAACATTTATTTGCTCTCTTTGGTGGGCCTTCATGGTATGAGAAAGACAACTCTCCCGCAATATGTCTGTGAAGATGAAATGACAAAGGAATTGGTTCTTAAAATGTTGGCTTATGTTTCCAACAATTTGATAAGAAAAGACCATTGCAGATGTGTTGGAATATCTTAAAATGAACAGTCCTGAGTTGGGAGTCATTTGGTACGCCTCAAAGGAATTTCATGTCCGAGGTAATATCTAAAAAGTGTTCATCATTGACAACATTGCAAAAAAGGAAGAGTGGGATAAAAGCGAATGTGAGATTGTTCTCATATCGCCCCATCACTATCATCATCATCTTGCACACAAAGGTATAAATAAAAATGCAACATTAAAAATATCCAAAAATCCCAAGGGTGTGTGTTTGACGCGATGAACAGAATCTGTACGCATTTTTCTAAGCACTATAGGAGAAGCTCATTACGACACTCACAATACAGCAGATAATCCTCATATGAATATTAGAAATGACCTTTTTTATTAGATTTAAATGAAAATTTGACTTTTAACATAACACAATGGCGAAAAAAGATTTATGTAGCCAACCCCGCATAGTTGTTGTTAATGGGGAAATTCAAATCAAAATAATTGTGTGTGTCTTGCTTGATGTGGCGGAGTAATATTGCAAACCTCATAACATATACATAAAAGATTCATGCATGCCTTATTTAACACACGTTAGGAAAGAAGACCTCCCATACACGATGTCTTATCACAACGACCATGCACACTTTTATTGGCATGGTTGGCAAGCCCAATCTCTCAAAAACACCCCGAGATAACAAGAGGTTGCAGAAATTCATTGTAAATCTGACTCGCACAAAAATTTAAAAAAAAAAATAAAATAAAGAAACATTAAGGATTGTCCCGACTATAGAATGATAAAATGAACCAAAAAATCAAATGCAAATTGCAAAATAAAGATAAAATGAAAATTATGGTTCTTAAAATGTTGGCTTATGTTTCCAACAATTTGATAAGAAAAGACCATTGCAGATGTGTTGGAATATCTTAAAATGAACAGTCCTGAGTTGGGAGTCATTTGGTACGCCTCAAAGGAATCTCATGTCCGAGGTAATATCTAAAAAGTGTTCATCATTGACAACATGATGACAACATTGCAAAAAAGGAAGAGTGGGATAAAAGCGAATGTGAGATTGTTCTCATATCGCCCCATCACTATCATCATCATCTTGCACACAAAGGTATAAATAAAAATGCAACATTAAAAATATCCAAAAATCCCAACGACCATGCACACTTTTATTGGCATGGTGGGCAAGCCCAAGCTCTCAAAAACACCCCGAGATAACAAGAGGTTGCAGAAATTCATTGTGAATCTGACTCGCACAAAAATTTAAAAAAAAAAATAAAATAAAGAAACATTAAGGATTGTCCCGACTATATAATGATAAAATGAAACAAAAAATCAAACGCAAATTGCAAAATAAAGATAAAATGAAAATTATGTGGTAACAACTGAAAAATGAATGAATTCACAAGGAACTTGTAACGAAACTGGAAAGCTCACGCGTGGTTGAGAACCAAGCTCCCTAACTCTGACTAAATATATAAGACTCCACGAATTGTGAGGCAAATGGGAGTTTAACTAGTGAAGTGAATGAACTTCTCCAAATTTATAACAAGAGAACTCATATCGTATGGGCCCATCCAATTGAAATACAAGTCACATGTAGATAAATTGCCTTATATTAAAAAAAATACAGACTTGTGACACTCACAATCAGATCCACAATACACATATAAGAGACCATTGTGTGAGTAATAAAGAATTTAAAACGTGAAGTTACGAGAATGCTCCAATAACAATACATTGGCATTAACAACTGCAACATCGAACTCTCACAAGTCACAAACAGTTATATTCATGTGAATAGTCAACAAACATATCAAAGTCACCCAACTTGTTACATCAAAGGTGTACTAGCCCCTAAATGACATATAAAATAATTACTAAAAAGAAACACATAAACAACCTGTGAACAAGCAGTGAGTCCCATGAGCAATCTATACATCCCACGATAAATAGTGTAACTCATGAATGAATTTTTTTTCGAGTGAGACAAAGCAATGCACGATTGTATGACAAATTTGCAGGACAGGTCAAATCATACAAAGCAATCGTGTCCACAAGTTCTTTAAATTTACAAAGCAAATGTCCTGATAAACATACAAATATAATAAATAAGAGCACTAAAGATTATGCAAGTGCATTGCGTAACGACATCAATAAATATGCAATTATCTAGTATAAGTGAACTTGAGCCCATAAGAAAATGATATTTTTACCCTCCGGGGTAATATATCGTATTCTTATGCCGTGCCCGATTATAAAATATGCAATCCGTTTGAGGATACAAAAATTTTCCAACAGCACCATGAAACATATTAGCACGCCTTGCAAATCCATCAAAAGTCATGCGCAACACATTGAAACATTAAATCATTAAAAACAACATTACTCCAAAACAACAAATAAAATTTGAAAGAATGGAAATACAGCTAACAAAAGAGGATTATCAACCTTCAACGGCCGTAAAATTCCTGACACATAAGGTGAATGCCTCACAGGAAGTTTATCAGTCATCCTATATGTTGCCGTGATTCCTTTCAGCTGCTTCAAATCCTATGAACAAATTCCAAAAATAAAAGTAAATGAAAATCAATGGGCAAACATTGAACGATGCTTTTCTTAAAAAATGAAATCAAATCATCTTATTACTAAACATAGGAATTCACAAGGTTGTACAAAATGAATTTAGGTAATTAAGGAAATAAGTTCATTTAAAATGATTAGCATACAAATCAGCTCAAGATGCAACTTTGGTTACTTTCTTCAGCTTGATAGAATTGGAAATTGTATCTCTTTTTACCAAGTAAATCTGTTTCCAATTCTATAATCAACAATAATATATAGTAGTAACTGAATTTAATGCAATTGATCTCCAAATATAAGTGATAACAGACTCCATGTTCTTCCTGCCAAAATCAGGACTTGTGTTATAGGCTTTCAGGAAAGAAACTGATTCTAACATACCAACATGAATGTTTTCATAGAAATTAAAAAATAAATAAATTTCATGTTAATAGTAACTCATATGGTAAATAAATAATGCTTCGATAAACTGTTTTTAAATAACACTGTCAAACCCGTCATTTACACAAAATGCTTGTGAATTTTCACCTTTAAACACAAAATAGTAACTTATTCATGCTGCTTATAAATCACCAACAATTTAACGAATATAAGATATATATAAACCGTTCATGTTTTTCTTCACTATGAATGCAAAAATCAAATGGGTGGAGCTCAGAACCCAGCTATCTTGCATTTGTTAGTTTCTCATCTTTTACCAAGGTTCTGTGTACACATTTTCCTTGATTTTCTATTTAACAAAAACTGCTTACCAAAGTTCCTGGAAATTTTGGAAAACTTCCATTTCTTATAAAAAGCCTCAAATTTTACAAAAATTCGAACGTGTAAAGCAAGAGAGTATAATCAGGAAGAAAAAGTTCGGAAGCCGTTACAATACATCAATCATTAAAACTAAAGACCAACTTGAAAAAAAAAAAAAGTAGAATATGAGCATCCACCTGCACACTCAATTCACTCACCTCAAAAGATCTCTCAGCTATTCCCTCAACCATTGAATTCTTGACAATAGGTAAGGTGTCATTCAAAGATGTCACAGCCTGTAAAATGCTGCGTCTTACAAGATCAAGTACTTCAGTAGAACAAGACTCAAGAAGTTGCAATACATGCGTAAGGAAATTTCCACTAAGCTCAGCAACAAGAAAACCTACATCATGTATCACCTGTATATAATATTTAAAAATGAATAAAAAGTTAAGATATTCATCCGGTAAATATTAACCATAAGATGTGAAGTAGTTCATAATCAAAAGATAGATGCAAAGTGACAACATAAAAGCATAGGTCATCAAAGGCATCAACTTTGTTAATAATGGATCATATTAACAATATATAGAAGCATAGATACACACTTTCTTAATACACAAGCATGGCATTTTTGCTTATCCAAATGGTTTTAAAAGGCTACTTAAGATGAAGATGATTGCCGAAGGAGATATTCATGATGTAATGATATATATAAACTTCTAATCTTTAAATGCATCAAAAGCTGTTGCGCTGTTCTTAAAAATAAGATTTGATAGTTTGGGCTCCACTTAGAATTTATTTGATCTCATAGATAAATTCCTCTATACATAATGTGTATTTAATTGAGCTTTTATAACTCTTAACAATTTCAAAATCGTTAGGTATGAATGATATTGTATCATTTACATTCGTAAGTTTTTAATCTTTCCACTTACCTCATTAAAACATATTGGTTTCTCCCATCTCAGCCCAACATTCCACTAATTAACATAATAACTTTAGATCCTTTCATCCTCTTGCATCACAAGGGTATGTGAACAGTAATCATTGATGAGGATATAAATGGTCATGCTGGGCAACTAAAATGGACACAATACTTCTATGCAATAATGCAATCAGAAAATATCTTTAAGGATTAATAATGAAAATTCTTAGATGGCTAGCTATAATATACCGAGTATGAATTCAAAGTCGGGCCACAAAAGAGTCAGTGACAGCCATATTCAAACAAAAGCTAAAATGTTAAAGACGACTGTATCCTAAAATTAGGAAGATAGAGTGTAAAAAGTCATTATATTTGAGAGAATAGAAATGGCACATAATGAAGAAAATACAAAAAAAAAATTAAATTATTTGAGCGTATACAGTAGCTAACACACATCAATATGGTGAGAGGCTAGAAAAATATAAAAGAAATAAGCATAAAGGGATAGGTTGACGTGACAAGATTAAAAAAACATGCATACAGATTCGTGTAAAATAGATAGACCACAGTCAGCATGAAACAAGAATAAAGTTGCAAGGGTTTCAAAATGCCAACTCTAAGTTGTTGGCATATGGCTACTAATGTTGTTTTTAATGATTAAAAAAAATGTTGTTTTTAATGATCATGAGATCGATGCAGTAATATAACACATGCAATATATAGATCTGTATGCATAAACGTTGCCTGCAGACAATAAATGATTGTTTCAAACGTGGTTTTTCAAGTGCAGGTAATAATCCAATTATCCTTTTCTAGCATTTCTTTATTAATTATGTGATAATCTCAATTAGATATTTAATATCTGCTGATCTATGATGTGTAGAGTAAAATATAAAATCATGAAAATCTCATCAGCAGCAGCCTTATCCTGCTATTTGGGGCTGCCTTTATGGACTGAGTTTTTGAACTCCTTTTCCCTCAGTTCCATCAAGTGTTCATGTTGTGTAAAGTCTTGTTACATGGTTTCCCAATTCGTGTCAAAATGAGCTACAGACATAATCTAATTGATGGCATAAATCTATACTACTATTATAAAAGGGGCTTGAGTTTCCACCCCTAGGCAATCCTGACCTTTCATTTTAATTCTTACGATATTATCCTGACCCTTCATTACATTATAAATGTTTAAAAATTCAAAAAATATATAACGTAATTATGCTGCTTAATTAATAATAGATTCAATTTAAGAAGTTATTAATTCAAAGTGGCTAATTATGTTTTATAATTAAAATTCATTATAATTACATTGTTATACTACTATTATAAAAGGGGCTTGAATTTCCTTTCACATGAAATCTTGGCCATCCATTTTAATAAATTTTAATTATTCAAATCAAATCTCAACCTTTTATTTTAATTATTATAATTATAATTAATTAATTTGCATTTAATTAAGAAAATCGGCACTACTCTTAGAGATTCCGTCACCTATTAAACACATAATAATATATCATTTAAACAAATAAATGCCCAGTTAACCCTCCGTTTCGGCATTTCCCATTCGTGATCGATGCCATTCTAGCAACTCCAACCGCACTTTTAAATCCAACCGTAATAATATATCATTTAAGCAAATAAAAGGCCAATTAACTGTCCTTTTCGGCGTTTCCCATTCGCGACCGTTGTAATTCTACCATTTAGCTAACTGCAGCCACACTTAAATCAAACCGTATATTTCGCGCCCTTTGTATTCCAACTATTCCCCATTCTTTTTCCACTGTATTGGCAGTCCTTTCTTCACGCAACAGGCTTTGCAACTGAGACGCAGCAGTAAGTCTCTTGCGTACGAACCCGCCTGCCCTCCCTTTGCTAAACTGTGAGCTTCATTCTTCTTCTTCTTGTTCTAATATTTTAACGTTTTCTTTAATCAGTATTCCCTTTCTCCGTCGGCCATCTTCTTCTTCTATTGCAAGATTTTCTTTAAACCATTTAATGGTTATTCTTCTTCTCCATGGAGCATTTTCAAAGGATTTCTTTGGCTCTCTTTTTCATTTAAGAAAAAAAGGCATTTTTTTTTCCAGCTTATGCACAGGTAAAGAGATTGGTTTGGGGCACTTCTCTTAGGTAAGGGGAAGTCAGAGAACTTCTCTTTAAAGGATTTAATGGTTATTCTTCTTCTCTATGGAGCATTTTCAAAGGGTTTCTTTGGCTCTTTTTTTCATTAGAAAAAAAAGGGCAAGACTTAACCGACGGAACCATTTTTATTTCTTCATGCTCCTGCACAGGTAAAGAGATTTGTTTGGACACTTTAAAGAGATTTGTTTGGACACTTCTCTTATGTAAGGGAAAGCTAGACTAAACCTGACGTCTTAAAAATGATTTTTATTCTGATTACCAAAAAAAAAAAGACTAAACCTGACGTCGGAACTGCAGTACCATTGCTGGTTTGATGGCCAGTTAAATATTTTTTTTTCTTTTTGTTGCTTGTATGTAGCCAATAGTGTAGCCTCATACCTATATAAATATATAATTGATTGTTGAATAAAGTGTTTTTTTAAGTTGAATTTTATTTTTCTATTTTGATAAATCAGATTATGTATCCAGAATTCTATAATTCATGTGGTGGTTCACACTTTTTTTAAGTTTTATGTTGGAATAGCTCCGGCCAGTCATCCAACAATGCAAGAACTGCAACAAGTTCCCTCTTCCAGGCACGGTCAAAATCCTTGCTACTTAATTGTTGAGTACTTTATTACAAAGTGCATGAAAGATTTATTATTTTCAATTTTTACCTGAATTCGTATTACTCTAAGAAGGAATTTGTCTTAATAGGATAAAAGAGGGTACAATATGATTGAGAATTTTTTGTTGAGTTTGAAATAATATTTGTATTGCATTTGATAATGAAGGCATATAAATTCCCTTCATTTTGGTGTTTGATTAATAACATATGATACAACAAATGTATTGTCTTTAATAATAATCAACATTACTTTATTATTGGATTTGGTGAGGACTCTATAGTGTGAACCACAACGTACATGAATTATAGATTTCTATAATTCATGTGGTGTTAGAAGAGATAGAACAACCAATTTCTAATTCATAGATTACACACCTTCTAATTACACCTAATTTTTTATTTTTTTAGCTTTCTTGAAAATTCTTCGATCATCCTTATTTGGGCTGAAGACCCCTCTTTGTAGAAAAAGGTAAAATTCTACTTCTATCTTTTTTGATTGCTACATTGCATCAATGCTATATTACTCAGCAATCGAGCCTTCTCTTTTTGGATTATATTTACTGTGATATAATACATGAAGTGTAGCTAAGAAGAATATTTATAGAAGAGAATAATATAAACTTTGAAACTCTTATTTTAACTTGCAAGTGAAAGTGCCTTCAATTACATTATTATTTTTCATTGTAAATTATTTTTCAATTTCTTTTCTATTAGTATTTTTTTTTAAATACTTGACACTAATTTTTGAGAAACTCTTTTTTGTAGAATTTTATCAACATATGCTTCTGAAAATATTACCTCACCACTTTGAGTCCAAGTTGTTGTTGTTAGATGTATCAGATTTTGTACTAGAGGCAAATGAATGCTCCTATCCTTATTCGTGCATATTTATGGCATGCTAATTTACTTTATTGTTAATTTAGATCAAAAGAAAATTTGGATTTGCAATCAAAGATTTTATATGCTTCAATAACTTATCTATATATTATTATTGTGCTAAACTGAGTATGCAATGTTTTAGTTGCATCAATAGGATAAAATTAATTCCTTTTATATGTTTTATGATTTTTTATATATGCTGATAATATTCTTGTTAGACATCTATATACATGAATTTTAATTCTTATGCATAATCTTAATGATAATAGATTAGATACTAAGAGGGAGAAAGATATATGTTTAAGTTAACAAAGAGATAGGAGTAGTAAGGATTTAGTTCTAGTGAAGTGTATTAAAGATGAAGATCAAAAAAATACTTTTCTTAGAAGATGATATTCAACAAAGATGGATGAAAGAAAATGAAGGGTGTAAAAGCTGTTGGACCTAATGATATTCCAATAGAGGTGTGGAAATGCTTAGAAGATGAAGGAATTTCATGGCTTACTAAACTTTTTAATACTATTTTGAAGACTAAGAAGATGCCAGATGAGTGGAGAATGAGTGTGTTAATTCCTATTTTTAAAAATAAAGGTGATGCACAAGATTGTGCGAATTATAGAGGTATTAAGTTAATGTGTCATACTTTAAAACTATGGGAGCGAGTTATGGAGCATAGGTTGCGGTGTGATACTAATGTTTCTCAAAATCAATTTGGATTCATGCCGGGTAGGTCGACTATGGAAGCCATACATTTATTAAGAGGTTTGATGGAGAAATATAGAGAAAATAAGGATGATCTACATATGATATTTATTGATTTCGAAAAAGCATATGATAAAGTTCCAAGAGAAGTGCTATGGAGAGTTCTT